TCCACCTGTCCTGCGGCCCGTGCCTGGGTGAGGCCGCCGGCCTCGGGCCGGTGCGGCAGGCAGCGGACGTGTCCACGCAGCCTCCTTTCTCCGGTGCTGGGAAGCCGCTCCGCTCGGAGCGCCGCAGACCCGGGCCCCTGCCTCCCCCGCTTTCCCTCCTCTACCTTGGAGACCCGGAGGTGAGAGGGAAATATCCCCCCCAGGTTAAAAAAAAAAAAACACACAGAGGAGGAAAAAGCTCCCGCTCCAAACCAAACCAAAACAAAACCACAGGGAGAGGGGTAGAAAAATTCCAATGAACAATCAGTAACAGGACAGATGTAGAAGCAAAAAGGTGTGTGTCAGGGACGGAACCTCATCTGGGCTGGGGTCGTCGACAGTCCAGCGGCCCCCAAAGTCCACCTCCGCCCGAACCCCTCCCTGCGGCGCAGGCGGGACCCGCTTGCCCCGTTCGTGCTCCCTCCCCGCGCACCTTCCTGCCGCCTCAGCCCCCTCGCTGCCCTCCTGCCCTCTGCTCTCCTCCTCCTCTCCAGACCCCTCCGTTCCTCGCCTCGCGCTCCCTCTCCCGTAGGGCGGTCTGAGAGCCCCGGCCCTGCCCACCCTACCAGGGTCCGGCCCCTCCAGCGGCCAGCGGGGCTCCAGTCCCCCGTCCTCCGCGTCGTGATCCTGATCGGGGTGGGGGGACGCCACCTTTCCCCTGGAGCCTGGGAGCCCACCCTTGCCACCCCACTCCCTTCGCTGATCCCGGGCCTCGGACCCTGACTAATGGCCGGTCCCTGCCGCGTGTGGGGTGCTGTGTCTTTTTCTTGTCTCTCCCCAGCAGGGCACGGGGGTGTGAACCAGCTCGGGGGGGTGTTTGTGAACGGCCGGCCCCTGCCCGACGTGGTGAGGCAGCGCATCGTGGAGCTGGCCCACCAGGGCGTGCGGCCCTGTGACATCTCCCGGCAGCTGCGGGTCAGCCACGGCTGTGTCAGCAAAATCCTGGGCAGGTGAGGGCCTCCAGCTGTCCTGGGAGACGCCCTGCCCCCTCCCCGCCGGCCCTGGGTGTCCGCCCCAGGACTTGGCTAAGAGTCCAGGCCACCAGGGGGGAGAGGGAGACCCCAGGGGATCTGGAGGACGCTGGGGCAGGGGAGCAGGGGTGCGGCAGGGCCGCCCAGGGCCCCGTGAGAAGGCGCCCAGTCCCCGGCTTCAGATAGGGAGGGCGGTTTTTTCCTAGCTGATTTCACGCAGGCTGGGGCTGGAAGAATAGGCAGGGGTGTGAAAACGGCCCCCAGGAGAACAGGCAGCACTGGGGAGGCTGCGGCAGCTCCGGGTTCCCGCAGATGCCCGCGCTGGGCAGGAGAGGGCTGGAGGTGGCGCCTCATTGGGCTGCCCGAGTCCTGGCAGCGCCGCTCCTGCGCGTCCCCCGTGAAAGGCGGGCTTGTGTGCCCAGGTGCCTGCTCTGCTGTGTGCACCCTGCCGGTGTGGCCGTCTCCCTCCTTGT